ATGATATCGTAATTAATGTGCCACGCGAACGACTCATCTATTAGTCTCAACTCGAACTACTCTGGCCAAGCCGGCCAAAAAATTTGGCACCAATAAAAAAACGCACTAGAAATGCATATCCCACGAATTTCTGGGATGATCCAGTGACCTTCAGCTTTAGATCTTCAGTGTTAACCCAGCCACCATACAGCTAGTCTAATTAGAATGCTGAACATTCGTCAGGTCTAGAAATGCATATCCCACGAATTTCTGGGATGATCCAGTGACCTTCAGCTTTAGATCTTCAGTGTTAACCCAGCCACCATACAGCTAGTCTAATTAGAATGCTGAACATTCGTCAGGTCGCGATGAAGTCTCGATGGGAATTCCATACTCATCACCAGTCGCACACCATAATTAATCTCAGAAATGTGACTTTCTATAGGTCACGTGCGACAACAATGATAGCAGTGGACGGACTTCTTGAGACAGCTATAGATCACCTCCTCACTGCGAAATACACTCATTTGCAAACTAATTTGGTTTTGCGAGAGACTTATCTGGAAGCCAGCTGAATCTATCGTTTATGGTGTTATTATGAGTAGTATATTACGTGTATGCACGTATTGTGATATCTCCAATATCGTATCTGCTGACAAATGAGGCGGCCTGGTGCAGCACATCCAGTTGGTTAGAAACATCATAAACGAGAGATTCAGCTGGATTCTAGATGAGTCTCTGGCAAAACCAAATTTGTTTGCAAATGAGTGTATTTTGCTAAGTTCGTGCAATTTGGGTTCAAGTAGAACATAAGGTTGACGGAAGCTCGGGGACTGTACCTACCTAATGAACCCCAAGAAAGGTGAAGCCGGTCGTGGGCTGTCGAAGAATTTTAAAAACCTTATAAGCAGTGTATTACCTCTCTCACTGCACCTTACTCGTCTATAAAGCATCCGCGCAGTTAGCTGCGTTGTCAACCGGGCAATGAATACGCTCTACAGACTCACATACTTTCCGTGCGCACGTGCTTGTGGCCGGAAACAAGGGGCTAGTGAACCAGTGTGGTTGTGTTGAATAAACGTTCAGAAATTAAGCGGAAGTGACCGATAGGCGGGACTACCTCTAGTATGAAATGCAGCTGGAAAGAGCTCGGGGGTCCGTTGTTTGAACCCAACCGCGGCATCTCGACTGCTTCTGTCTAGGCTTAAGAAATCCGGAATTACCTCAGCCCTCCTGCTTCCTTCGGATGGTACGCCTGATCAACTTTTTTCAGCAACCGGTTTTGGTTACCCAGAAGTCCAGCTGGCAATCGGCGTCACGTGTTCTGGCTAAATCAGGTTATTAGGCTATTGATCAGTGTTGCAGCCTCATTATCAAACTGGTGAAGTCTTAGAGACTCAAGTGCGCCTACCTGGTGAATCCCATGAAGGACGAAACCGGCCTTGGGCTGTCGGAAAGTTTTCAGCTGCCTTAAAGGTAGTGTCTTCCGTCGAGACAATATCCTCCAATGTCTCGGGTATCGTCTTAACAGAAATATGAGGTGGCCTGGTGCAGCACATTCAGTTGGTTAGAAACATCATAAACGAAAGATTCAGCTGGATTCTAGGCGAGTCTCACACCATTCATTGAAAAAAACCATAAATGAGAGATTCAGTTGTCTCACTAAAACCTGACGAGTTTGCAAATGAGTGTATTTCGTAAGTTGAGTGCTTTTGTGGACCCCCTGCTACACGAAAAAGCAATGCACCAAGTTCAATCCTGATGTTCGTGGTGACTATTCATCTCGTCATCTGCAACCAGTTCGACGATTGCCGGATTTGCTGGTCAAATATCCAGGAACTTCTCCCGTGTCATATGGCGCCACAATATCCTATTGCTAGTATCGGGTTCAGACAGGGAATATGCGGGTTTGGAGTAGTTTTTTATGATGATGCTATAATAAATAGGAATAAGTATAGCAGCAACATGATTTAACTGCCATCTTCCCCAAACGTTAAGCGGTCCTGCGATTTTTTAGCCAGGGATCTCGGTCCAACCATTAGCTTTACGTTGTGTTGAATGCGCGAAGAGCTCTATCGTCGTGGA